GAAAGAGCAGTTATGTCATTGTATCTTAATATTGGGTAGCAGAACAAAAGAGGTTATTTCTCGTACAAGATAGCCCTGTTGATAGAAGAGATAAACCAGAGTAGTGTTCTGTTAGCCTCGCAATTTGTGCTTTTTGCTCTGAACTGGTCATTTCAGTTGTTCAGTCTTCATGGTTAAACCCTCTTGTTTTGTTGTCTCTGTACTGCCAAACCACAGCAGTAATTTTGGAGTGCATGACTGGCACACTAAAGAAAACTTCAGTGCTTAAAAACAAGTTCTTTTAGTTACCTTAAGTGCGATGCTAGAGGCTTTATAAATAGGCGGTAGATTTTGACAGATAAGGTGACAGGCTGTGTATGTCAAGGAGGTAGCCAGTAAATAGCTTTTTTATTGTAGTCAGCAGTGTAGCACTCAGTGTGATATTGCAGGACACTTCAGGGCTTAACTGGTTCTATACATAGGGCACTAACTAATTTCCATTTATTTGTATTAGAAAGACACTTAGGTTTTAGTCCTGTTACATTTTTGGGTCAGAGGTTATACTACAAGAGCTCAGTCAAATTTTTCATTTGAGTGGGAAACACAGAAGTGCTTTTTCAGTGGGATGACTTCGTTTTAAAATATCTGTGGTTCGAAGATGCTCCTGGGGTTTGTTTGGGGATTTTAGAGTAAGCCCAGATGATGTGGTTTAGTGAGCAAGGGAAGTATAATGATCATAATAAATGTACAATGAAGTCCATACAAAAGCCTTGTAACAAACTGTATTTATGACCAGCTGTGTTGTAGTTGTGTGTTTGTGTGGGTGCTGTGTTAAGAAGGTGTGTACATGTCTGTTGCGCAGGGATCTGCCAGGATGAAAGTTGCTTACATAAGTGTAAGTCACTGTTTTCATTACTGGTTTTACAGTAGCAAATCTGCCCACTATTTCCAGCCTATCCTGACCTTATTGCACAGTGTGTCTTGTATTGTCATATATATGAGAAGGCTTTTTAGGGGAGCAATCGGGCTGGACCCTCGTACAGTGTTGTTTTTTTTTCTAATTAAATTGTCACCAGAAGGAACATCCGGAGCAGCAGTTTTCATTTTCAATTGAAGAAAAAAACATTATGAGTCTTTGTCATCTGATTAAAAAGTTACTTAACCTTTAAATTGCTATAGATGTAAAGATAGCTCTGAGTTTCCAATGTAATCGCCTCAAAGTTAAAATCAGGAAAATCTTTGTGTAATGAAACCCATATGTCATAGTGAAAGGATGCAAAACACTGGCAGAGTGGGCTGCTCTCGCAGGAGATTCTGCACCCAATCTTGTTAACCAGGACTGCTTTTGGTAATCCCTCATCTCCTCACTTGAAGGAAATCAATCTGTACTACTGAATCTTTTCAACCAGCAACACAAAATTTACTGCAGAGAGGCAGCCTGGGGACAATTGTAGTAGAAAAGGAGCCCCAGGCAACACTACTAAATGCGGGATTGAGGGATTGAAGTTCTAAGAGGAGATTATATTAAACCTTACTCTGTTTCCCTATCAAGTAGAAATCTCTCCTTCCCCTTTCAGCCCTAGCCTGTCCTGTCCAATACCTGCTCTTGAGATCTGCTTCTTCCTAGGTAGAAAACTTGATTCATATAGGGCAGCGTTTTCTGCTCATTATAACTGCATGGTACCATTTCTCAGTACAGTGTTTTGAAAGACAGGGCCTATTCAAGCACTCAACTTCCTTTGTAACCAAGTGCTGATAACATGGAATTTTTTTATTTTTCTGTGATCTTCAGTACCCTCTGCCTTCTCCCTACTAGGCGAGATGAATTTGTTACCAGGCTATTGCGATCGTATCTATTGTTGGTTTTTCTATTGTATTAGATGCATGGCCTAGGAGAGCTTGTAAATCGTGACTTGACACGGAGATTCATGTTTCTGTTTCATGCTGCACAGCCTCTGTAGTGCCTGCTCTGGTACAAAGAAACCTGCGCTCGAGTCCTGTCTTCACTAGGCAAGTCCCTGGTTTAAGCAGCCATTAAAAAAAATCCCTAAGGTTTTCAGTACGGTTTTGTCCAACCTTTTAATTAAAAAAACCTACCTCTATCTATATACTATTGGCTTCTGCTGGTCCCTTGGGTAGTTTCTTAAGACAGGTTTTAGCAGCTCTCTTAGACTGCAATCATATTTAAAATGTGGGACATGCTTTCTTCATTCAAAAGCTCATACCTCACTCCAGCAAGCTCCAAAAGGCCCAATTGGAAATGGTATTCCCATTATTAAGAAATCATTTATCAGAAGCAATACTGAGCAGAAGAGTCAGTGTAATATTAGAGGCTTTTCTGTGCAAAACCCAAGCTCAAGACATACTGTGGTGCAGATTAAAGAGGAACAAAGGAGAAGAAATGGCAAGACATTTCAAAGCAGTGTCACATAATATATATCTGGCCTGTGTTTACCAGGAATGCATTTAACTGATTCTTGAGCAGATCAGAGAGGCAGCTGAAGCAGGGAAAACAAGATTGTAAATGTTTGTTCAAACTTCCCCTTATCTTGCCTGGCGTTTGTCTGTGGTATGAGGATGTATTTTGTGGCCATTTTCATATATTTACAAAGATGTAAGGTCTTTTCTTTCTGTTTGGCATTATATCTTTAAAAATAAAGCCCTGTTGCAAGGCTGAGTATGTGAGGAGAAGAGGAATACAGAACAGCAGAAGGCTGTCTCTTGCTCCTAATGGGATTTTGTAGCAGCATGTGCGAGTTTGTTTCAGAAGTCAGAAATGAACAGATGTTGGTATAAATTACCTCTGTGTCTGATGTCTTGCAAATTAAAAGCGCGGTTGGCATCACTAAACAATTTCACCAGGTTGGGGGGGGAAGCGGGCGGTGATTATTGTAGCAGGTCGGTAAGAATCTTTAAGCTGCAGCAGAACAGGATAGCAAGGATAAAGGAATGAAGAATAAAATGAGAGGTCTGTGAATTAATCAGAAATGTTAACATCTCTGATGACAAGCCAACAGGAGGGCACGTGCTCCGGAGCAACCCCCAACCCACAGTAATTTCACTCGGCGCGCAGAAGGAGTTTATACTCTCTGCCTGATTTATAGGGTGCAGCCTTCTTTGGGGGAGCAGAATTGTCACGCATTCGTATATCTCCTATATGGGACTTGCACTCGGGAGAACTTTCCATTCTATCAGCTGTAGTTTGACTTTGCACCTTCTCCATAGTAGCATTTTAAAACCATGTACTGTTGATAGTCAAAGGCAGGGAGATGTCAAGAAACTCCTTGAGAAATTTGTTTCTAACCGAAACTTATAGAAACTTGCATTTTTATTTAATAATGTTATTTATGCATAACAGTTTAGTTCCTGGCAAAATAACAGCCCGCACTCTGCCCTTCTGCAGCCCCTTCTGCCTGCACATTGCTTTAGCAGTGCTTAAAGATATAAGCTGCCTTGGAGGTGGAGCAGTAGAGGTACAAGCAAGTCAACGACTTCCCTGGTTGTTCACGCTGTGAACCAGAAGCAAAATTGGGGATGAATCCCAGCTGATGTAACTCGTAGCTGGAGACACAAAGCGGGTGAGCAGTGCAGCGCTGTGCTTGCCCCTGCAGCCAGCCAGGAGCCAACACTCACTGCAGGCTTAGAAATCTAAGAATATCAATGCGTACTGAAAAGTTTGTAATAACAATAATTACTATTTTAAAGGGATCCTGTTGATTCTGATGCTGCATGGTTCAATTTGGGGTAAATGCAATAAGTTAGATGAAATAACTTTTAAAGAATGTGAGGCTGTAGGAAACCTGCTAGTAGGTCAAGTCGAGCATATCAAAATATTTTTACCAGTGGGTGAATATTGAGTATTATAAGCAGAATATAAATTACTGGATATCCAGTAATGTGAAAAGAAAACGCGATAGCAAACTCAAGTGTAGTTTTTATACTATTTGTTATTTCTGTTGCTCTTCTTGGTCAGGAGAGTCTGGAATTGAATGATAAACCAGAAGATGAACTCCAGTTTCCTCCTTCCAGAGTGTGTCTAGGTTTTGTGGAGGGAGCATGTACACTTGCATCAATTCTACAGATAAAAACCTTCATGTTTTGTCATCTGCCACTCCAGCACACAACTCACACCTTTATTTAAAAGAAATGAAGGGAAAGACCAGGGGGAAGATTGCTTTCCCTCCAGGACTTGATCACTAATCATACTGTCTTTGATGCAGTTTGTTGTTACTGTGAGACAAAAATAGTATTAGGGCTGCTCTGCCATCTTGTGAGCTTATGGGCTCACAAGTCAGAACTGTCCTGTGCAGAAAAGTGGCTGTGTAAACCCTGTTGCAATACAGCTACCAGAGATTGATGGTGCCAAGAGTGAGGGAGAGACTTATAAACCTTGCCTTGCTGTATTAAACACTGAAGGACTGACAGTGCAGAGAGAGATAAGACCAAAGCTCTATAAACTTTACTTTATTACACCATCCACAGATGAACTGCACTGAGGGAATATAAACCCCATTATATTACAGTATCTGGGGACTGACACTGCTGAGAGAGAGAAAATGCTGTCTAATTTCTGTTGAAGATCATAGCATCCAGGGACCAATAATCCTGAAATGGAGAAAGACAGAGTTCCATAATCTCTGACGGATTATAACATCCAGGAACAATTGTTCGGAGATAGAGTGATGGTGATCTGGATTACACCCTTCAGAGATGGATGGTATGAAGGCAGAAAAGGAGATGCTGCAAGAGCATAATGCAGTGGGAATAGAAAGGGTAGAGTGTATGCAGTGAGACAGTCTGTAGGAATTATTGCCAAGTTTAGGAGATTCCAGGCCTTGCCTGCATTTCTAGATTGTCAGGAATTGAAGCCAGAGTGCAGTTTTATTTATTCTTAAAAAGAATCTTTACTATTAGTATAAGTACATATCTAAATGTATTGCTTATCCCATTTAAATACTGCAAATGATCAATTCTTTCTGGCTTTTTGTTTTAATCATTTTTTTCTTCCCTTGTGATTTCAGCTAGAGAAATGACTCGAGGGAAATTCCTCAACATCCTAGAAAAACCCAAGAAGTAGCTGCTGCTCTGGAATTCGGACAAAAATATCCCAGCTGAGTCGTTTTGTGCTGTGGATCCAGATGAACCCAGAACTTCTAAGGAGAAGAACAAATCTCTTGCTTTAGATCTTCAGAAGCAAATGTCTCTATTGCTTCCACAGCTTGTCTCATACCTGGGGAGAAACATTCCAAATGCAGATCACAAGGATTGCTACAAATTCCATTGAAATTCAGCCTTTATCTGACTGTAAGATATCCAACAGGAAGACTCAGCCCTGATGTCCTGTGACGAAGTTACCTGCCATTTTTTTAAACTTTCTTTTTTTATCCACTGTTCAAAGTGAACAGCCCCAGGGTCCTCTCCGAATTGCCCTGAGTGTCCCCCTGCCCCGTTCATAATACCTAACTGATCCTTTATGGTGGGGACCAGTGTGTGTCATGATGCACTGACCCTTTAGTGCATCTTTTGTCCTAGATGCATTGATTTCCTGTATGCAACTTCTATGTTGAAAGATTGAGCAGAGTTTGGGGTATATAATGATTGATAGTTTAAGTCTTGGTTCTGCAGGAGCGCAAACTTTTTGTGCAGAAATCAAGTGCCATCTATATTTTAGACTCCAGTCACTGCCTTCAGAGAAGCAGATCTCAGAGGAGAACCTTCAGTATTCACCCCTAAGAGGTGTGAGTGTATCATTATGGGAAATATCTCTCTAGGCTATTTGGCCAGGGCATTTAAAAAAAAAAAAAAAACTCAGTCCCCTGCAAATCTCAATTTCCAAATTTATGGACCTAGGAAGAGAAGAAGGTTAAAAATAAAAGAAAGGTGTAAGGTTGAAAGGCAATAATGCTTTTGTTTAGGGAGAACACCAGAAAATGACAACAAGCTTGTTGGCTGCACTGCAAGGAAATCTGGTTAAACACAAGCTACACTTCTGAAAATAGGTGTCCTTAATGTTTTCCGTTATGTTAGGAAACAACAACCTCAAAATTTGCTTCACCTACAAAAACAGACTCTAGAAGGGAGAATTTTCTAGTGGCTGGTGTCTTCTGGCAAAAAATTTTGGGCGTTATTCATCCTAGTTTAATGCCTTCCTCTTTCCCCAGCCTGCCCTTGGTGATTCACTTCTGTATGTTGATCCCTGAGAGGAAATAGGCAGAATGCTAAGATACTTTATTCAAGATAAGCTTTTTTCCCCCCCATTTAATCTTGTTTTCTTAAAAAAAAAAAAAAAAAAAAAAAAAAAAAACAGTGTTTTAAGCATTAGTAAATAGGTTCTTTTTAGCATAAAAACATAATATTGAAACATGGGGTAGAGAACAGCTTTTTTCCTTGTTTTTTTTGTTATTCCCTCCATTCAGAAATGTCATTTTTAGCATGCAAGCTTTTCAAAATTTGTCATTTTCCAGACTGCGATCACATGCGAGAGAGGAAGTGACTTGGAGTAGTACTTGGGCTGCATCTTTAACAGTTTATCCTTAGAGCATTGTATATTTTTGGTCTTTGCAGAGAGAGGAAACTATTTACAGGCCTGTGGGCAAAAAGGAGGGAAAGATTTTTTAATCAAATAGACTTCTGGATTTTTACAAAAGTGTTTGTGGCCTTTCAGCAATCTGTGGTTGCATGTTATCACTCAGAACGAGGTTCATTTTGGACAGCTCCTATTAACTAAGTTTAAGCAGTTAAATCCCAAATTCCAGAAAGAAAGCATACAAATAGTGAATATTTTGGCATGTCAGGAGTCTGATTTTTAAACTTAGTGGATTTACCTCCATACTTCAATTTTTGCAGAACTAAGTGAGAGATGACATGGGAGAAGATGGAGAGGCTAAAATTAGTAATTCAGAGAGAAAGAGAGAGAGAAACTTGCATGTTGGTGCAAATTGATGTTGATGTAGCTTTAAATATTAAATTATATGTTCTGGATGTAATATTAAGTTTGTATATCATATTTATAATGTAAATACTCGCATATATAACATGGGGATACATAGCCTGTATTACCAGTGTGACTTTGTGCGTATTGTAGAGGTTTGTAGATTCAACACATCGAGAAATCTGAGATCTAAAGGAAGTAAGTTGGGGAAGATAACAAAGTTTGATCTGGAAATATATGTGTATTTTCTGATATGTATAGTAAATAGGCATTTTAAGCCTTTAGTAGTTCATAGTAACATTTTTAATGCCTTTACTACATGCAGCAGTACTTACCATCTATAGGGCAGCAAGTAGTGCATGCTTTACAGCTGTGATCTTTGTTGGCTTTGTACTTCTCATCTGTAGAGATGAGTCCGTGATCTATTTTTTGCAGTAATATATATATATATTTTTTTCTGTGTTAGCCAGAATATTATAATCTCTGTTACTGCTCTATGCTTTCAAAATAAACACAAAGCTCACAGAACATTCTGGATTTCTAAAATAGCCTTGAGATAATAAAGCTGTGGTTTAACCACCAACAAAATAATCTTCCAGGCTCTTCTCACTTTTAAGATGGATAACAAGATGCTCCTCTGTGTACTGCCTCCTCAGTTTTGGGTCTGTGCATGCTCCATTCTTATCAAAGAGTGAGCAGTTGGCAGTATCCAAGTGGAACCGATGGTTTTCACACCCAGTTAAACACCATTTTTTCTCTGCTGGTGCCCATCCCTAGCTGCAGTATCTGTGAAGGATGAGAGAATCTGGGTGACTTTTGGTGATCATCTTCTGCATTTGGAAACAGCAACCAATGAGTTTTGACAAATTAAATGATGGGAATGAAGAGTATAGCAAGATCAAAATTTCATAGAATCATAGAATGCTTAAGGATGGAAGGGACCTCTAAAGGTCATCTAGTCCAACCCCCCTGCACACGCAGGGTCACCTAGAGCACATGGCACAGGACTGCATCCAAGCGGGTTTGGAAGATGTCCACACCTCTCTGGACAGCCTGTTCCAGTGCTCTGTCACCCTCACTGTTAAAAAAAATTTCCTTA